CAACCAAGCTGTTTTAGCTAATTACAGGCCAGTCTTCAATCTTCCTTTTATTTCAAATATTGTGAAAGTCTAGTTTTAAAATAGCTAACTGATCATATGCAGGTAAATAATCTAACAGTGGACTGCGCTGCAGTGGTTTGAATCATATCTATTTAATAGACTCCATTTGTTAAATCCAAGGTTAATTGTGGAGTTCCACAGGGTTTAGTGCTAGGAACAATTCTATATACATTAAACATGTTTCCCCTAAGAACTATCATTAGAAGGAATCGCATGAAATTTTAGTGCTATGCAGATGATACTCAGCTTAATCTATCCATGAAGCCAGATGACACAATGGCTTCTTATCATTTACTCCGTTATAAATGCAGAATTAAATTTAAACTCCTTTACCTCACATATAAGGTCTTGAATGATCAGACCTAATCTTAAAGACCTCATAGTACCATATTACCCCAACAGAGCCCTTTGCTCTCAGACTGCTGGCTTACTCGTGGTTCTTAGGATATTTAACTGCAGAATAGAGGCAGACTTCAGCCTTTAGGCCACTTCTTTGTGGAACCAGCACAGTGGTGTGGTGGTTAGGACTGTTGCCTCACAACAAGAAAGTCCTGGGTTTTAATCCAGGGTCTTTTTGTGTGGAGTTTGCATATTCTCCCTATGTCTGTGTGGGTTCTCTCTAGGTACTCTGGTTTCCTCCCACAGTCCAAAGACATGCAGTTAGTGGTTAAGTTAAATGGTGATTCTAAATTAGCTGTAGGTATGAATTGCTGTCTGTCTCTCTGTGTTAGCCTTGTGACAGACTGGCAACCTGTCCAGGCTGCCCCCACCTTTGTGCTATTGCAGCTGGGATAGGCTTCAGAATTCCCAGAATCCTGAATAGGATAAGCGGGAGAAAATGGATGGATCTCACTGAGTGCTTGGTCATGGGGGCGTTGTCTGATTATTGAGGTTTTCTCTCTGTTATTATAGGGTATTTACCTTTTGGCTGTTGGACATGGACATAATGTGTAGACTCTCAGCTTTCATTTGAGGGTATCCACATCTAAATTGGATGAAGGGTTTTGGGGTTTCAGCTCCTTAACATGTTCCACCCTCTTTTTAAGGGGACCAAAGGTAATTGGACATTGGACTCAAAGGCTATTTCATGGGCAGGTGTGGGCAGCTCCTTTGTTACGTCATTATGAATTAAGCGGATAAAAGGCCTGGAGTTGATTTTACGTGTGGTGGTTGCATTTGGAAGATATTGCTGTGAATATACAACATGCGGTAAAAGGAGCTCACCTTGCAGGTGAAGCGAACCATCCTTAAGCTGCAAAAACAGAAAAAACCCATTCGAGAAACTGCTACAATATCAGGAGTGTTAAAATATACAGTTTGGTACATCCTGAGAAAGCACTGGTGAACTTCAGCAATGGAAAAAGACCTGGACACCCACGGAAGATAACAGTGGGGATGATCGCAGAATCATTTCCATTTTGAAGAGAAACTCCTTCACAACAGCCAGAAGTGGCCAAATGAATTCTGAGGTGTTCAGAGAGATACTGTCTGCTCAAATCCAGCTTAATACACTCAGATTGATTGGGGGGCGTTTCCTAATACAGATAGACAATGACCCAAAGCACACAGCCAATGCAACCAAGGAATTCATTAAAGCAGAGCAGTGGAATATTCATGAGCCTGATCTTAACCCAATTGAGCTACATTTCACTTGGTGAACACTAAACAGCAGAGCGTTAAAAAGGAGGAAACAAGGGATCTGGTGATGTCCATGAGTTCAAGAAATAAGGCTGTCATTGCAAATAAAGGGTTTTCAACCAAGTGTTAGAAATGAAGATTTTATTTTCAGTTATTAAATTTGTCCAATTACTTTTGAGCCCCTGAAATGAAAGGATTGTGTTAATGCAATTGTTTTGTTCAACCCACTGAATTAAAGCTGAAAGTCTGCAACTCAACTCTATCTGAGTTGTTTCAATTAACATTGATTGTGGTAATGTACAGAACAGAAATTTGAAGAAAAAAAAAGTTGTGTCTGTCCAAATATTTATGGACCTAACTGTAAATAACACCGAATTATATGAAAAATCATTCCTACATTCTGAAGGTTGTGTCATTTATGTCATATAAGTGGAACCTGAACAACATGTTCCTCAGCTTTGTTTTGACCTAATATGAAATTGTTGTGTTTAGGAGGGTAAATACTGCACCGGGGAACACAGGACCCTGTGAACACGGATACGTCACTGTCATTACAGTTACTTCCTGAGTATTTGTGTCTGCTTGGTTTCACTCAGAACCTAAAATGATATTTGGCTACATCAGTGGGAAACTTGGCCTGCTGGTGTAGCTAGGGGAAAAGTCAGAGGACCACCAAGTCATTAGGAATCACTCTCCAGGAACCATGAATATTGACAACAGAATTCCCTTGAATCCCTGCAAAAGGTACTGAAATGAAGGGTAGGAATCATAGACTAACTAAAGAAACAATACTGATGATATTGTCCTCAATAAAAGAGGTTTCACAATAAAGCAACTTTATGATGTATCACATTAACTGAAGAATTAAAAAATACTACTAAATTGCCAGTATATGTAAAATATATGTGATAACGATGCCTGTGCATTAGCTATTGTATTGCAAGAGGAAGTAACATGATATGTCATCTAAATGCACTGTTCAACACCAAACTGAAATATTTCACTGTGGACCAAAGTAGCTGACAGACTGTTGGTTTGTAGTCATGCTGCTAACGTGGCTCAAAGAAATCCTGCTTTTCCCCTTCTTTGTCAAAGGAAGCTGACACAGAGTACATGTCATATTAGATTTAACTCCCAACTGATTTCATTAATGACTCTCAGACTCTGTCCCTTGGCTGTGCCTGTGGGTAAATTAAACACATCTTTATCAAGACACCTGCCAAGATAATAAGACATTTAACTTTCAGCACCAGTATGCTCTAGCATGCAATCACAACACACTATGAGACAACTCAGAAAGGTAATTTTATTAGATGGAAATCATGCTGCTCAGGATCATCACACAACAACAGTGCTTGCTGCTTTGCTTTTTTTCTAAAGAGAACCACATGTACTGCTGACTCTCGCTGCCAGGAGTTGTTTAGTTCAACAAATCATCTTTAGAATGTTGTTTATTGATGCTGAGCTACTCTCAAGATCTGCAACTGTCCAATAATCGCTGGACGAGGAGGTCAATTTGGCTCTGTCGAGTATTTTTGGAGCATTCTGAGCACAAGTGAATGAGAATCTGAGAACTACATGTGGACCATAATATTTTTTGTTGCTAAGTGTTTCCAGTAAGTACTTGGCATGGGTTTGCTTAGGAATGTATATGCGTGATTCTTGCCAGAGTATAAAGGCATTAAAACCTCATTTATATTCGTCAGGCTCTCACACATAGTTGCATCTGGACTGCAGTACCCGTCACATGGATGCTAGTTCAAATCTGAAAGTCCCCAAGAAGTGAAAAACAAGTTTATATATAAAAAAAAAAATAGACCATAAAAATAGATAAGGCAACTACATCCTCCTACTCCTTGGATAATTGGGATCTAGCTTGTTCCCACACCCATGCAGTGGGGTCAGTCACAGCAGGATGACGTAATCCAGAGGGCTCCACATTCCCACGCTGCTCAGCATGTGATATGGAGCCACTGGGACCAAAAGCTTGTACACACATGCACAGATGCAAAACAAAAGGGGATGGATGCATGCAACCCAGCAGACTTGGGCACTGTAAACAAGTGTTTGAATCTGCACGAGCCCCAGCATGATATGAACTAGTGATCAGAGATCAAGCTTCTCTGTGGCCCTTTAAGATCCCCCCCCTACAGCCAGCTAGCCTGCCTCTGTTTACATGATGGTAACTCCCAAGCAGTGGAGGCTATCACAAAAGTGCTATTGTAGCTGCACAGCTTGAAGATGCCAGTGTCATCCTCATCATCTTTTAAGACAAGTCACACACACACACACACACATACAGAGCCTCCTTGTAGGGAACCAATATAAACAGCCACTTTTCCTATCTTTGGATCAGCACGTGTCTGTGACTCAATCAACAAACATTTCACTGTGGTGCAACACTAACGTTGCAGTTCACATTGACCTTTGACCCCTCTGCTTGCCAGTGGGTTTTAAAAGTATAACAAGTGAAGAGCCCTTGTGCTGTTCTGAGAGGGAACTGCAGTAGGATGCTAAAATGATTAAATCGGCATACTAATAATAATAATGATGATTTTATGCTGTTTTGTTGTTTCTGTGATCAGAAAAACATGTTATGTGTGTTTAAAAAAGGCAAAGAGGCCATGGTTCTATGTGTCTGCACTAAAGCTACATGCTAACTGGTGCATGGTGAAATGACAGTATGCTGATGTTTAGCAGGTGTAATGTGAACCTGTCACTATAGGCAGTTTAATATTTTCTCATTAGCACAAGTTCAGCATATAGCTGAGGTAGGCTGCTATATTATTAGCTACAGTAGGCAGGTTTTTGCTCATGAATGCCCTCCTATTGAAAAGTAAGGGGCTAATCAAAATGATTACAGAACCTGTTTAGTATGATCCTAATATTAGTGACAGAAGAAAGGGCCTGTCGTTTTTCAGGGATGTTAGGATTCATCCTTAAAAGAATAAGATAAATATTTAACATTTGATATATTTTAGTCTGGGTCAAAATGGAAACTGTGATTTAGCAACATTTGTTGGGATACTTTAGTGGATAAGTAGAAACCTAACCTAATTTTAAGTTAGAAATGTAATGGACGTTAAGATTCATCCTCAGATGGTCATGGATATTTGTATCAAATAAATATTGAAGTAATAAGACATTTTAGTCTAGACCATGGTGGGAATAAGAAACAGACTAGAACCAAGCTACCGTAGTCAGAAATCTCTGCACTGTGACACCTGATGTCTTGTATATGATCTAGGAAGAGCATGCTCACAGAGATTTATGTACAGTTTCATGAACATCACCACACTGACCTTTGTAAGTCTCATCCTGCCACTCTCACTCCTCTCCAGGCTCCTTTTCAGAGATGAGTTTCTGACTACTGGCACCGGTTGCACCTCTTCCTCCCCGCACCAGTCCGAACTCAGGACGCAACCCATATAGGTGGACAGGGTCCTGGACTTGGGGTTGTTTTTCACCTCCTCTCACTCTCTCTTCCTTCTGTCCTTCCTCCACCTCCTCCACTTTCTCTCCGTGTCCTCGTCCCCTCGTCCTCTAAACAGGCTCCAGGCTCCCTGGGTTCCTGGGCAGCTGTTTTTGTCAGCTGGAGAGGAGGAGACGGAGGCCCTTCCCCTTTTCCTGGCTCTTGATCAGCCCTGCTCCGGGGACAGAGGGAAGGATACACTCTGCCCCTCTCTGCTCACTTTAAAAACACCTCTCTCTCCAACTCTGTCCTGCTGCTTGTGGACTCCCCATTTTTCCTGCCTCCGCCCCCTCTCACTGCTCCTCTTTGTTTCCCACACGCAGTTGCAACCACTCAACTTTCTTCAGCACACCTAGGCCTCCAATTTTTCACCCTTTCTTTGTGCCACTCAATCACATTCTTCACATCCCTCTGCTCTGTGCTCTCACTCTTGATCACTGTTCAGATATGAAGACTCACTGTTTCATCTTCCCATCTTGTGAAGCTCCTCTGTTTTTTCCTTATGCCTCTTCTTTCCTCTTGTTTTTTCCCTCTTGTTTTGCAGTCCTCCCATCCCAAGAACACGTCTCTCCCTTCCTTCTTACTCCCATTCCTCCTTCTTCTACCTCTTCTGCCAGTGTTGCCTCACTCTTACATATACAATTACCTCTCTGTTCTTACCCCCACCCATCTCTCCTTCTTAGCTCCCCTCTGTTTCCTGCTCCCAGATACAGACAGACTCTCCTTAGCCCGTGCAGCACATTGTTGGTATTGTCCAGAAAACGAGTAAGAAAAACCCTCTCAACAGTGAGGGCAGCTGTCAGGATGCTGCTGTGCAATGTAGTGATTCAGAGTGCTCTTAGCTTTTGTTAGACTGAGCCTTTCCTTGTTTATGATGCAGGACCCTGTCTGTTGAAACTGTGAGGCAACATTGCTTTTTCCACATAATGCAAACCAAATAAATGAAGGGATGTCAGATATATTATGCCATCATCTTACTCATATTACTAGAAAAATCTTTGCATCTTTGCCTGTTTTTCTTCACCTACCTTAACAACCATGCTGAGCTTGACATCATTGAGATCGTTGCTGTCTGTGGTTTCCCCCTACAGTGACTACCTGCTCCCCTCTGTATAGGGGGAAGGGGACCAATACACACACACACGTTTTCTACTTTTGTGAGAACATTTATTGACATGAGTATATTCTCAAGTTGTTTAACCATCACGGCTAAGGCCTTACGTTTACCCTACCCTGAGCCTTAATTATAACTTTACAAGCACGTTTGCACTCTCCAACACGCCTTCAAAGTGTGAAAAATGTGACCTGGCCAGAAGGTTTGAACTTTATAGTATTTAGCCAATCAGATTGTCTAAACTTAAAACTGCCTCTCACAAAAGCAGGTGGATGTGCTTTTTACTAAATTATATTTATCTTGGCTTTTGTTTCCTGTAGTCTCCCAAGAAAGCTGCGGCTCACAATCTTCTTTTGCACGTATACACACACACACACACACACACACACACGCACACACACGCATGCATTCAGTGTATCCGTGTGTCGTCCTTTCCTGAAAACAGTGACTTAATGATTCCCTGTAGGTGATGAGTTTGACGAACATCTTATAACTGTAGTAACAGAAACAGTCATGTGTTGCACTCTCTCCATTTACTGCATAAGTTATGGATAAAGAAGAAAACTCCAAGCACAATGTGCTCCTGTGCCTTTTTAATGTGGCTGGTGTGTGAAAGATCTTAGAATTCCTCGTGTCTTTTTTCCTCGCAGTCTCTTTGCTGTTGTTTATTTCTTCTCCCTTTTTGGCTGCTGCGCAAGGCTTGGAAGAGTGAGACAGTGCCCCTTAAAAGGCAAATTCTTGATGCTCCTCCAAAAGCCCCTTCGCTCCTCCCAATTTTGTAATGACTCTTTTACACCCCCTCCTCCCACCCCCCATTCCTCTCATTTTGTTTTCTTCTTTCTTTCATTGTCTCCCTTGCCTCTCTCTTCACACTAAAACTACTGGTGAGCCATTTTTTTTTTTAGTTGGAGGTACTTTGGCTGAGAAACCTACCAGGTGTCCTTCTTTTCCTCCCTTCCTGTACGATTGATCCATCCCTCCCCCAAGCCTTGTGCATTAGTCCCCCTTCCAGTTGACCCCAACCCTTTCTTACTCTATCCCCTCCTCTTTATGTATGTCTTTCAAGGCAATGTTTCAGACATGAGCTCAGGCTGTAGACAGTGTTTACAACAAGCCCCCTCCTGGTTTTACATGCTGTGAAATTAACTCCTTCTAATCAAGTGAGGTCCGGCTAGTTTTGCATCTGGAAAATATGGGGAAGGACACAGTAGTTTTTAGAGTGAGCCATTATTTACGGCTAATTTAAAAGCCCCCACACCCCCACCGCCACAAAAATAATCATCTGATTACAGAAAATATGGTACTAAAAGAAGCCGAAAGCCCGGGCTTTCTGGCAAAAACATGGCCGCCATCCACTGCAGAATACTTGGCACTTGTAAGTGTACTTGGCGGGAATCACTCTCAGTCTGGATCGGTGATTAAGATAAATGACAGATTTCTGGATGGAGGTTTGTTAAGGAGGGGACAGACAGAGTGATAGGATGACTGAGCTCGCTACTATCTTCGAGAAGAGTCGAGAAAGGCATGATCAACTGACTCCACAGAGAGGCAGCAGGAAAAAGAAGGGATTGTAATGTGAGGAAACAAAAGCTGAAGTAACAAAGGAGTACAGAAATAGCCACAGTTGTGATGATGTCACGTATGATACTACCCGAAGGCTTCATAGACATCACGGTGTTTACTGAAACGTTAAAGTTGATGACATTCGTCATCTCCAGTAGTTTGTTTTTCTGGAAGTTGTGAAATAGAAGTGTGTGCACACGATCATTCTCTTGTGCTAAATGATTCTCTCTCGCCCTCTCCCTGGCCTCTTCAAGAATCTGTTTTTGTGGGTCAGTCTTGGACTGTTCCACAGCTACACTGTGTGTGTATGATAAATGTACACAGCAATAACATGTTAGTCAGGCCACAGGCTAACCAAGGACATCTGTGCCAAGGGTGTGTGCACTGGTTAAGCTTTGAGATCCCATCCAGACATCCACACCACACCACTGAAATCAAAGGAAGACTATTGCAATGTCACTTACAGGCACTTGGGCCCAATTCAGATCACCTCCACTTTGTGTTTGGACAAAGTGTAGTCCATATTTGTAGTTTTTTTTTTTTTTTTGGTCCACAACTAGACTTGACTGGTTTCCTCAGGGTATTTCTGCCTCAGCTCAGCCGCAAGTCCATCTTACATGGGAAAATCTCAGGTGTGTTATAGCAGTACGGCCACATCTAGCCTGTTACCCAGGTTAAGCCAAGCTCATGACTTCTTGGCCACATCTGGCCCACAAAGCACTTGCCAGTAACTGGCATGCAAGTCCCAGAAGCAGCCCAGATAAAACCTGAATTCATCTGGGCTGCAAAGTGAATGTTTTGGGTCTTTTCCTAGCACTGATACACTTTTTAATAGGTTTGTTTATTGAATTATTTGTTTTTTTACAACCACTTGGCAAAAGTGTTTATTAGATAACTCTGGCCCAATATCACTGGCTAACCAAAATTGCAGGGTAGCGTCCTTTTAGTTTTCACATCAGCATCAAAACCCATTACAAGTCCAAAGCCAGCAATAAAACTACCCTTTGAACATCTGCTGTGTGTGTTATGGTCAATCAATAAATTAGCTGTAGCTGTGAACAGTTTCTCTCTGACCGATCCAAGTTTATAGTAAACAGCTCTGTGTAACCTGATTGAATATTGGTTAAGGATAGATTAGCCCTGTATAAATTCCAGTCCCTTTGCTGTTACAAAGAAATGTTAATGTCCACTGCCAAAACTAACCTACACCCCCTTAAAAAGAGTTTCTCCTTATTCTTCTTATTTGCTGAAAACACAGCGCCCTGCTGTTTTAGAACAATTACTGAGCATTAAAAGATTATGTACTTGCAGAAAAATGAAAAATGGCTCCCATCTTTTATAAGAACCATTAGTAGGCAGGTGAGAAGTATTAAGAGACGTAGGGAATTGTTTGTTTTAGCTTTTTCTTGGATTTGCTGACAATATGAAAACTGTACAGTGCTGCCAGTCTTATCCTTTAAATCACATTTAATTCTCACCAAATGTTTTTGGTAAAACTAAAGAGGGTTTAAATAGGTTTGGGACAAAAAGTTAGACAATCAGCACAAGACAGAATAATGGGATCAAGCTAGGCAGGATGAACGTTTCACACCTTGGCTGCCCTCTGTGGCATTGTGCCAACTTAACACCACAGGCTCATGAACAGGAACGAAATGAAAAAGAAGCCTACAGAGCCTACGTACAGAGAAACTGTGCAAAACTGAAAACTTTAGCTTAGGTGAGCTTTGCATTTTAACGTTTGCTCATGTTGCAAGGTCAGAAAGATTTGCCTTGATCTCTGTAATTGACGTCAAATTTGACAATGAGCACACAACAAATACAAAAGCCGGAAAGAGAGTGTCTGAGTTTGAAAGACGCCTAGCTTAGTCATCATGGAAAAGATGGAGAGGAAACAAAAAGGAAAGCCAGGATGGAAAAGTGACATGTTCATAGTTTGTGGCTGGTCCTGCAGACAGAAAATCATGTCCAGTGCTGCATTCTCTTGTCTGGGCTGCATAAATCATTGGGCTTAACGACAACAGGAGCACCTCTAAAAACTGGCCTCTTGTATAAACATTAAATGGTTCAAACTGCAGCTCTCAGGAGGGTCACTGGCTAAAAAATGTTTATATATGTATATATATATAGTTATTAACACATTTTATATACATATATTACACAGCTACAGTGACATCACTGTTGGTTACTGAAGTCTGGATTTCAAGTCTCGAGATGAGTACTTTGTCACCATCTTGGCTGCAAAAAACTGGATGTGACAGGGCGGGGTGGATCGAATTGTGAAGCTACACAGTCATTGGCTAAAGACTTGTGAATGACAAGTTTTAAGCCAATGTGCATGCAGTTTCATACCATAGGTATGCCTTCATTTGAAACATAGTGTGACCAAGATTTACAAAATATACCCATTTTCCCCCCAGTATGGCTAGAAATGACTGACCCAGCCCATAAAGAGGAAAGCTGTTTACAGAGGTGAGACAGAAAGCCATTTTCTGATAGAGCCCATACTCACACCACCACCACACATTTACACTGTGTTTGTCGCAGTCCTCAGTTTTTCTAGTTTTCTAGAAAACTAGAAAAACTGCTATGACATTACTCAGTTAAAAATGAATCAGGCAGGGGTGGGTCTTTTTCTTTTTTCTTCCAAGAATGGGCCTTTTTCTCAATCCCAGAATATGAGTTTCAAGTATGAGTTCAC